TTTTGATATTTGTTAAAAATGTATCCCAACTCGTATGTTTTAAAAGCAAGAATGTTCAAATTAAAATCCATATGATTAAATGCATAACTATGAAATGGAGTGAGTTTCTTTAAAGTATATATTTCAGTTGATTTGATCAACAAAATAAAGACATGTCCAAGATTTCAATTGATGTCCCTGATTTTCATAAACTGTTATTTTGACCCTCAGCGTCATTACTCTCACCTGTGAGTGAAGTTCTTCATGTTTATGTTTGTTTTTAAATACTTCAAGAAAGTATTTCCTGGGTTCTGAAGTTAATGAGGAAGTAAAGCATCTCACCTTACTAATGTTCACTCACCTGGATTAAACTGTTGGGTCACTCGCTCCTGACATGTTCATGGTTTCTCATCAACCGTTTGCCCATAACGTCAATTCCTGTAGAGGCAACTGGAAATATTACTATTAAACACTTCAACGCTCAGTTTTTCTGAGGTAACGAATCTTATTATGTCCCGCTGTAAAATGACACACAGTAAAACTCTGAAAATACTTTGACTTCTGGAGGCAAAAGTTGCCAGACCAGTTTGAAGAGGAGAGAGAGAGAGAGAGAGAGAGAGAGAGAGAGAGAGAGAGAGAGAGAGAGAGACCTCAGAACTATAGTTCTTTGTGTCCATTATTTTGTTTGCTACTCGTATCCATACAGATGCAAAAAGGAAGAATAAATGTACAGCACTTGGAAGACTGATGGAAAAACACAAACAAAATATCTTTTATAGGCTATTTTAACTTTTAACTGTTTATTTTTCAGTTTTTAAACTTCGAATTTGCAGTCTACAGTGTTTCTCTTTGTCGCCATCTCTGTTCGTAATCTGCAACTGCAGTCATTCACGGAATTATCAACTTTACTTGAGTTGTACCTCGGCACGGCACAGCGAGTGTGTGTCTGTCAGTCGCTGCCGGTGGCGATACTGGCATTCAGGATCACAGATTATTCTTTTTGGAAGTATGACCAACATAATCATTTTCACCCTAAAATGTCTGAACAAGTAAGTGACATCCACTTTTGTTCTGGTTCTGATTAACTAAGGGGAAAAAAACATTGCAGTAAATCGCGCTGATTAAATCTAACAATAGCTTATCATATCACGTAAAACCGTACAAATTATACTTTGTTCTAAAATTGTTAATGTTACCAACATCAGCATTGCGCGACTATTTAATGCCCTTCCGATTAACTAAGCCTTCATGTAAACGCCTTAATCAATCCAATCAACTCTCCAAATGAAAGTTCGATCGGATTGAAAGATTTGTTTTTTCCTTTTCTAATCGATCGAGAGAACATGTAAACACTTGGTAGGATTGAAAAACGAAAATGCATGTGTGATGATGTAGAAATAGCACAATGACGTAGAAATAGCATAATGACGGTAATAATGACGTAAAAATAGCATATGACGTAGAATTAATGACGTAGAAATAATTATGTAGAATTTATGATGTAGCAATAGCGTAGCATAATGACGTAGAAATTGCGTAATGACAGAAATAGCGTAATGACGTAGTCTTTCGCATGCGCCGGTTGCAAGTCTCTTATTTTCTGTATCCACTCCGAAGTCTTTTGCATTTTCCAGCGGACAAGTCTCCAATTGGTGATTCTCGCTTGAACCTTTCTGAATCCGCCATCAAATTGATACATTTAATTACACCTATTCACTCCCATAATAAAGCTTGGAAGAGCCAGGACTTTTTTTTTTTGTATTTGTATAAAAGAAGAAAGTCATACACATCCATAGGATCTACCTTAAAAGTAATCATGGGCTACTTTTAATTTTTGTGTGAATATCCCTTTAAGAGTTCTTAACATTTCCTGTAATCCTTTTTGCACAACATTTAATTTAGTCCCTTGGTCTGTTCTTATAGTTGTAACTGATGTGAAACCTTACTTTTCCAATCACTAAATTTACAGTTATTATGAATAGGTTTAGCATTGGTAATGATGAGGGTTTCTGCCAGAAAATGCACATATAATCACATCATTTCTTAATTTTACTGCTGTTTATTTGATCAGAACCACAGAAGAGATTTACATTTATATTTTCTCTTGAAAACAGCTTATACGATGCTCCTCAGGAAAAATATTTGTGTAAATGTAATGCCAGACACAATGTCCATTTATATCACGAATCCTGCTTTTCTAATGATATTTAAAGCTTTTGTTGCATTAAGAAGAAACTGTTTGCTGTTCTTTTTGAATAGGGACATTGGCTCATTCACTGTACACATGTAAAAACTGCAGTTACTCTAACACGAGCATGCATGTTGTTCATTGATATTGAATTAATAAACATTGCATTAAAGACGGTGGCAGTAGTTTTGACTGAAACGCACAAACCTCAATGATCGCCACTACCATTAAAGACTGTTTAAGTTTCAGTGACATGATGATGTCAGAGACACAGTTATCGATTATAATTTGTTTCCCGACAGCAATGCTTAATTTACTGGCAAAGCAAACCTCAGATTGTAAAACAAAGCAGAAATGTGTCATTAAGCTGCTTTTTGATTCATAGCTTCTTGTTTCGCTGCTTTCCATCCTTTCTGCTGTCCACGATGGTAAATGACTCTTCCTGCGACTACTGTAGCCAGAAAAAACACAAACACAGCCAGGCCAACACCAACGAACATCAACACAGGCTCCGTCACCGTCACCTCGTCTACAGACACAGAAGAGTTACGCACATTTATAGCTATATATACTGACTGAATTAACTCCAGCAGAGCAGTTAAAACATGAACAATCAAACCAACATGTTACCTGGGACGCCATCTTCTTCTTTAGGCTCTTCTGTTACAAATATACCTGTACATATATGATCAGTTTATCATACAAACACAGAAAACATTACAACAATAAACAAATAAACAGTTTTAGTTGTTAGCTGTATATGTGAGTGTGCATTAAGATGAGATTCTGTAATTTTTGTCCTTCATGCGATAGAAATTATGCATAATAATTAAAAGGAGTCCAAGAAACATGACTTCTCAACAACAACAAAATATGTATTCTAAATATGAGCACTAAAAAATATATATATATTTAAATCAGGTTTATTATCAGCTGCTTTGATACAATCTGTATTGTGAAAAGCGCTATATAAATAAATGTGACTTGACTTGACTTGACTTATTTTATTCCACAATCACTTTGGAAACTCAGTTAAATCCATATCTCTTAAAACTAAACCTACGTTCAGATCATCTTTGAGTGACGCATCTTACCCCCAACACTGATAAGTTTGTTAAGACAATGGAAAAACCGAAATCTATACCTTCAATGTCCAGTCTGATGGGTTTGTCGAAGTGCATCTCTGGAGCGTCAGACTTTACTCCACAGAAATAAAGTCCTGAATCTGATTCTGTTACTCCAGTAATAGTTAAAGAGACTCTGGTGACCCAACTGTCTGCTGTTATTTTCACACGATTGCTGTTTAGATTGTAGTTGATCAGGAGTTTTCTCTCGTTTTTGTCCTTCTCTGCTGAACTCAACAGAACGAGTTCTTCAGATCTGAGAAGATACCAGGCGACTTCATATCTGTTCCTCATGCTGCAGTTCAGAGTGATGTTTTCTCCCATCCGAACTCTCAGAACAGAAGATCCTCCTGCTGACAAATCTGGAGAAACGTTTATAATAAACACTCATCCTTCTAGACTGTTGATATCTATTGTATTTGAGGTTGATATGTTAATTTCATGAATGTTTGAGATAGAATATATTTACCACTGGATGTGATTTGCATAATCCAACAAGAAAATACACAGAAGAAAATGACTGTCTCCATGGTGTCTGTTGTCCTTCACGGTGTCGATCAAACTAAAGTTTCAGCTTGATGCAGAGTCACTGAAACCACAAAGAGTGTCCACTTCCTTCCAGAGAAATATTAAGCATTTAATAATAGTTGCAACCCCTCATTGAGGTCAACTCAACAGATTAGAATGATCTTTTAAAACAGGGAGCTGTTTTAAAATATCTGTTAAAACAGAGACAAAAGATTGCTGTCAAGTGGTTATTACTTGACAGCAAGTCATACTTATTACAGCAAGTATTACTTATTACTAAACATATTTAGATATATATCGAAATCGTCTTCCATTGCAATTTCCCGTATATCTAAATATGTTTAGTGAGAGGTAAAACTTCCGAAATCTCCGTGTAAACATTGCGTGGCGTAGACGCGCGAGAGATCACTTCCGGCGTAACGTTGGAGACGGTTCAGTTCGGTTCAGTTGGACATCTGATTCAGATCAATTCGACGGCTGTTAACAAGAGTTAAAACATTATAAATACTGTTCGTTTTCTCACACAAACCGCTTGTTTCGTGTCTTTGGCCATCAATGTTACATTTACGAGTCATTAAATCATGTTTAATTTGGACTTCTCTGTGCATGTTCTTTGAGGAGGAGACCATATTATAGGACTGACAGACAACACCGTTTTGACCGAAAATGTCAAAATTGAAAATACTGTGGAAACAAAGACACCTACATCTTAGATGCCCTTGAGGTAAGATAAAACATATCAAAATTTAATTTCAAAGTGAACTATCCCTAAGCCTTTAAAGCAGACCAACCCGCTTGGACCAGACGAGGGCGCTGTTTTTCACGGGTATATACACACACACACACACACACACACACACATTACACACTACTTTATTTGCCCTTCTAGAGTCAGCAATCAGCATAGCATTTGCTATCTCCCTTGCCTCCGATTTTGTGGTTTTAGAAGCAACAAGATAATACAGTCAGTCAAGAAATCATTACTCTGCATTGCTTGACAATGAAGTGAAACCTTCTCTCTGAAAGAGAGAGAACAGATCTCTGAATTTACAATTATGTGAAGAGGTTTAGCTTTGCTAATGATGACGCACATTAATGCACATATAATCACATAATTTCTTGGGTTTATGTTTTCATTTGTTCAGATCTCCCAACAACACACTTTTCATTGAATTTATCTGACGTTTTTATTAAATCAAGCTTTATGTGCCACAAAAGAGATATACATTTATATTTTCACTATGAAAACAGCTTATAAGTACATATGTAACACTAGAAGAATATAAAATGTGTAAAGATATGGCCAATCCTGATGGTCTGATAGTCTGATGATATTAAAGCTTTTGTTTGCATTAAGAAGAAACTGTTTGCTTTGAAAAACACTAAAGACAGCACTGAACATTTCCTGAATCACACAAACCTGAATAATCACCACACATTAAACCCTGTGCAAGTTTCACTGGTGCTAAATAAAAGTGACCTTTACCACAACATCTCAGCTTCGGTTTTCTCAAACTGAAATCTGATAAACAGGAAAAGCATTTGAGCCAAAATTGTCTGTTACCATTTGTTTCCCTACAGAAATGCTTATTTTACTGGCAGTGCAAAGCTCAAAATTGTCAAATAAAGCACATAAATGTGTCATTTAGCTGATTTGTGGCTCATCATAGATGCACGTTTCGCTGCTTTCCATCCTTTCTGCTGTCCACGATGGTAAATGATTCCTCCTGCGAGGATTGTAGCCAGAAAAAACACAAACACAGCCAGTCCAACACCAGCGAACATCAACACACGCTCCGTCACCGTCACCTCGTCTACAGACACAGAAGAGTTACGCACATTTATACAACATTTAGTGCCAGATCTCCACAGAAGAGCCATTGCAACAAATAGAAAATCTATTAAATAAACAAGAAACACATTACCTGTGATTTCAACTTCTGTTCTCACGTCTTCTATTATAAAAAGACCTGTGAATATATGATATGTTTATCGATAAATATATGAACACACACAAAAACCTGCTTCTGTAATTTCAACTAGTTTTTATGGCAATTTTTTTAAATGCCTCAATGAACTGTAAACTGTGGGTTGGTGCTAAGTGTATATCTGCACAAACCACTAAAACAAAAATCATGTTCAGATCTCATCTTGAGTGGCTCATCTTACCCCCAACACTGATAAGTTTGTGAAGATATGATGAGGAAAAACTGAAATCTGGTACCTTCAATGTCCAGTCTGATGGGTTTGTCGAAGAACATCTCTGGAGCGTCAGACTTTACTCCACAGAAATAAAGTCCTGAATCTGATTCTGTTACTCCAGTAATAGTTAAAGAGACTCCGGTGACCCAATTATCTGCTGTCATTTTCACATGATTGCTGTTTAGATTGTAGTTGGTCAGAAGTTTTCTCCCACTTTTGTCCTTCTCTGCAGAACTCAACAGCACGAGTTCATCAGATCTGAGAAGATACCAGGCGACTTCATATCTGTCCCTCATGCTGCAGTTCAGAGTGATGTTTTCTCCCATCCGAACCCTCACAACAGAAGATCCTCCTAATGACAAATCTGGAGAAACATTTAAAAATCACATCCTTTTAGACTGTTGATATCTATTGTATTTGAGGTTGATATTTTAATTTCATGAATGTTTGAGATAGAATATATTTACCACTGGATGTGATTCGCATAATCCAACAAGAAAATACACAGAAGAAAATGACTGTCTCCATTGTGTCTGCTGTTCATAAAGGTGTTGATCAAACTATAGGTTTCAGATCAATGCAGAGACACTTAAACCACACTTTCCACTTCCGACAGAGACATAAAGCATTGAATAATAGTCTCTATCAGTTTAAGTCTTGCATCTTTCATATTTATTTTGTACTTTTGACTTTTCATAATGATTGCTAATGTTGTTTTCATTGCAACCTGTATCTTATAGCATCTCAAAGTTGTGTTATATCTGGTTTACTTTAGCTTGCAAACACAGTTGCTGAGCAAATCTTGGTTATAAGTGTGTGTAGAGTCCATGATGATAAATATTACAAGTTAAGCTCTATTCTGGGAGATTAATTATTTTACATGAAATATTACATAAAAAGTTCTTTACAAAAATGTACAAACACAAATCAGTTGACATGTCATATGCATTACTGTGCTTGTGTTTTCTGAAGAACTGCAGGAGGAAGTTATGTTTCTGAGGTAATGCAAGACAGGAAGCTTACGCTGCAATTCTGAAAAGGTGAAAAACATCAGTGATGACAGGAAAGACGCTCAAATCTTTTTAGGCAGGCAGGTTATTTATTGTTACACATTTTGATAGAGAGAAACAATATACTTTGTCAAATGATCATATCAACAGTTCTCTCTTATACCCTGAGCAAAGCAATACTGAGCAACAGAAAACAGCCGAATGAAACAAATCAACCATAAACTTTTTTTTTTTTTTTTTTTTATTGCAGGTTAACAAAACAGTAACACTCAGTTACTGAGTGATTCAGTGAGACACATCTACAATACAGAAGTAGGAAAGGGGAAACAAAAAACAAAAAAAAAACCAACAGAGAACAGAAAAACTCACAACAGCCCCACACAGTTATCGACAAAGTGGTATATGTAGGCACACGAGATCCTTTCTGTGATGCAATTCGGTAGTATCTGAATAGTTGTAGAGGATATGATAGAGACTTTGACAAACACAAAGAAATATATACATATATATATATATATATATATATATATAAATGTATCTGTATTAGTGTTAGTGGTGGCAGTATCAATGATAGTATTTATAATGATAATATTCATGACAATAATAGTAATATAGGCTATAGCAATCTACAACAGTAGTGACAATAGCAATATGACAATAATAATACATTTAATTTTATTTTTATTGCACATCTGCTCTAAACTCTGGGTCAGAGGGCTGACCCAGAACTGCCAGTGAGTGCAACCAACAGGCCCCCCAGACACAGATGTTTCCCCTCGATTCAATAACACGATTCCCCTCCACCACCTTCAGTGACACCCAACCCCCATCGTTATACTTCTGGGCTACATTGAGTTTTTCCACCGGGGGACCACAACAGGCACCTCCAAACCAAGCTCCCCTAGTCTGTTTGTGACCTGACACAGCCAAGTGTAATTGGTGGTTGGTCCACCCCCCCCCCCCCCTTTTTTTTTTTTTTTTTTTTTTTTTTTTTTGTCCCATGGTTTGGATCGAGGCGTACACTGGTTAGCTCCCTAGCCAGAGACACCACATCCAACCCTGGTATCACTTAAAAAGAATTATTTTACTTGATGGGAGGGGTTTGGCTAGAGGTAGTGAAGGGGAAGGGCCATTTAGTCCAATTACTAACAGGGCGTGCTAGCCGCGCCCACCAACAGCACCCGGGCCAGACGCCCGACCCAGTTAAAAAATAAAATAAAAAATAAATAAAAAATAAATAAAATTACATAAAAATAAATAATAATAGTAAGTAGAAAATAATGTTACTAATATTTATACGTAGTATTTTCTGACTGGTTACTTATAGAGAGAAAAGAAATGGGGGGCTCATAATTCTATAATAATAATAATAATAATGATAATAATATATTTCATCTTCCATACTACCACCACCCTATAAAGATATATAGCAAATAGTGATAAAATGCAGATTATAAAAGTATACAGCTTATCAAATATTATACATATACACATATACAAACATTTATATACACGTACACATACATACAAATACATCCATATATACACACACATTCATACCTATATATAAGGGGCATCTATTATAGTGCTGTACAGTAATACACAGATAATATTTTATTATTAATTTGTAAACATGTGATTGGGGAAGTGCGTTGGTCCGGTCCCAGGCTACTGATGTATATGAAGATGAGTTAGGAATGGGTTCCAGATATCAAGAAATTTAGAAATAATGTTCTTGTTAGTATATGTTATTTTTTCAAATGTGATGTATTCTATTAGAAGGTTGGTCCAGTGATTGATGTGTATTTGGTTTTTGGACTTCCAATTTTGCAAAATTACTTTCTTGGCGATAGTTAGAGAAATTAGGAGTGGGTTTTTGTAATTGATTGGGAGATTATCAACTTCAATGCAGTTGTTCAGTAAGCAGAGTGATGGAGAAAGAGGGATTTCACAACCCATGATAACGGATAGTTTTGTGGTCACTGATATCCAGAATGAGTGAACTGACTGACAGGTCCATAAGGCATGAAAATAATCATCTGTGCTCCCCAGTGTGCACTGTGAACAAACGTCTGTGTCCCTCAGGCCCATTAAAAACATCTTCTTTTCGGTGATATGAATCCTGTGAATAATCTTGAACTGTATAAGCTGGAGGTTAGCATTATTAGTCATTGAAAATGTGTTGTTACAGATTTCTTTCCAGAGGTCGGTGTTGGGGGAGAAGGTTAAATCTTTTTCCCATTTGTTTTTGGGTATTATAATTGTTTGTATCATTGTTCAGTAAACATTTATGTAGTTTTGATATTAGTTTGCTGGTGTTAGTGATTTTCATTATATCTTCCATTAACTGAGGGGGATGGAGTGGGTTATTAATTATGTTAATCTTGGATTTTATTATGGATTTAATTTGTTGATATTGTAAAAACTGTTCTCCCCCAAGACCATACCTCTGGACTAATGTTTTAAACGATATGAATTGGTTGTTTTCAAATAAGTGATGGAGATGAGTGATTCCCTTTTGTCGCCAAGATGGAAAATGTATTGGTTTATTGCATAATTGAAAATCAGGGTTGAACCAGATGGGGGTGTGTCTACATGATGTTAGTGGGGATTTGTTAATTTTGTTTACTTGCCACCAGGCTGTCAGAGTTGATGCAATGGTAATGTTATTAAAATATGGCATTTTCTGAATTGATTTTGGTAGAAAGACAAGGTCTGAAATTGAGGTATCTTTACAATGGTTTTGTTCTAGTTCTATCCATGAATTATTATATTTAGTTTTATGAATCAACCATAAACTTAAAACTATCCCAACAATTCTCAAGATGATGGATTGATTCTGACAGAAATGAGGAAAACATGTTCAATTCACAAAGTTTTAAAGGGATTACCGTATAGCTGTCTCACCAAATTCACTCAGCTCCACAATAATCAACATTTCACAGATCACATACTGCAATATCCCTTCAAAGCAAAACAGTGTAAAAACCACAATATCTGTCCAGATGAGACATGATTGCTCACAGCTGGAGATGATTAAATACTTCACATGTTCACAGTGAGTTCATGAAAAAGCCATTACAATAGGAGTGTAAACGTCATGAAACTCTCTTGGCTCCTGAGCACCACATCTGGCTATAATGTTTAGAGCAGCTAAAGTTTATTTTTATACCTGAGAATTAGTTTTTTCCTGAGTATGAAAATATACAATATTTCAGTTCATATAAAAATAGTCGGTAAGAACCAACAAAATATTAACAGTCAAATTATGATCAAAAGTGGTTTCCAACACATGTTAATTTTTTCAAAAACATCTAAACATCCCCTAGTGGCCAGTCAAGGGAATAATAATTGGAGAGAAAGCTTGGCAGGAATACAGACCCAACACACTCTTCCTCATCTTTACACTTTTTAAACACAATTATTCAACGAAAACATACTAAATATTTCATTCAAGATCTTCACTGTTAGGCACATATGATATCTCGATATTTTCTGGGATTTTGTTGATGACGATAATTTTCGTGAGTTTTAGTGCTGGTCTTGTGTCTTGTCTTGACTGGATTAGGCCTGACTGACTCGGCTTTTATTTATTCATATATCAAGCTGGTATTTTCTCGCTTAAATTGATATCCAGGGGACATTTTTCTAAACTATGCATGTATCATCTTTTATGACAAATTCTTTCATTTAATCAATCATTTCAGTTAGAATAATAAGACACAGTCGCAATCAGTATCTATAAAACCCATCTTTGGCACAGAAGCTGCATCTGAAGAGTCATTTAGATTTACACTGGTATTTACACGGTTTAATGTTGTTAAATCGATCAAAATATTAATTTATCAATGAAACGTCCCTACAGAGCTGCCAAAATAACCGATCGTATTTATTTTTTAAATACGTTTTATTATTATTTTTATATTATATTTTATTATTATTATTATTATTTTAGACCTTGAACCGTTTGGACCCCATTGAAGTCCATTATATGGAGAAAAATCCTGGAATGTTTTCATCAAAAACCTTAATTTCTTTTCGACATGGACATCTTGGATGACATGGGGGTGAGTAAATTATCAGCAAAAGTTTTTTTTAAAGTGAACTACTCCTTTAACACTCTCAATAATCAAGCGTTTGGATTTTCCGAGCACAATAGAGTATCACAGTCCCGCCCACAGCCGGTGCCAGAAGTAAAAATTCAATACAATTTCTCCATTGACATTTGAGATATAGACGAATCCGGCGAAACTACCGGAAGTAAGCGGGCGCCATTACTGAGCTGTTGCTGGGTAGCGTTGCGCCATTGCCTTCTATTGTTTTAGTTGCAACTTGCGTCCACTGGAATAAAAAGCTCGCGATTTACGACTGTCACTAACGTTACAACGTTAGCCCTTGTATAATGTCGAGTGGGTAAACAGTTTCTGTTATAAATTGTTTCAATGGTGGCAGTAAAATTTCAATTTTGAAGAGAAAACATTGTGAATACCCCGGGTCGACTGCCCCTGTCTGGTGCCGTACGGTTTACACAGATTTCCTGGGCGAGTTCAAGACGCGGACATTCGCGTAACTTAACAATTATTTAATGACATAAGTAAAAAAATATAACAAATGTGTGATAGTGATCAGCAAAATCTCCTCTCTTGCTATTTTTTTCTATTCAATTTAC